GTGTCATCCTGTGCATGGCAGGTCCCCTGCCTGCCTCTGCCTGGCCTGGGACTGGTCCCTGCCCTCAGCAGCCCCATGCAGGCAGGGATGCAGGGGTGTCCAGGAAAACACCTGAACCAGCGAGTCCCCTGCGACACAGCCAGCACGTGGCAGTTTAATGGGTCACACCGTGACGAGGACACATTTAATGGGGTCTGGGCTCGGTGCTGGTGCGGGACCAGCTTTGATTTCCCCTGAGAACGTGTGGCCTGGATGCATGCCACAACACGGCGTGGTTGGCAGACAGGCACCAACCACTGCAGTTGCATGGCTGCAACCAGCCCAGTGCCCACCGCAGCTCCCAGTGCCCAAACTGGGACCTCCCCAGTTCCTTGGGGACCCCAGATAGAGGAGTTTTATGGGACAGATGGGTGACCAGTGGGACAATGGCAGAGACCACCCACCACAGCACCCCATGGAGAGTGAGAGGGGTTGGAGGGACTGAGGGACACATCCCTCTGGGGCAGGGGCCCACAGGGTAGGGGGAAAGTGGGGAGGGGGAAAGGAAAAGCCAGGAGGAGCCTCGCGGGGTTCACGGGGGGAGCAGAGTCCAGCAGAGTGAGGGGATGAGAGAAGGAACAGGAGGAATGGATGGACAGAGAAGAGGGTCTGCAATGGGATAGAGGGACAGAGGGACAGGCAGACGGATGGGTGGGTGGATGGATGGATGGATGGATGGATGGATGGATGGATGGATGGATGGATGGATGGATGGACAGACTGACAGAGAAAGCAGATATTCAGTGAGATAGATGCGTGGATGAATGGACAGCTGGACAGACTGATCAATGGAACAACAGATAAACACACACACTGGGGTGGGTGGAAGGATGGATGGATGGATGGATGGATGGATGGATGGATGGAGAGGGAGGGAGGCAGGCAGGCAGGCAGGCATGGGTGGATGGATGTTCCCGGCTCGGTGCCAGCCCCTTACCCGTGTCCTGCCGAAACTGGTGCATGGACTGGAGGTCGATGATGTAGGGCGCCAGCTGGACGTCAACCTGGCCCAGCACCACGCTGCCACGGGCATCCTCCTTCAGCACGTTCTCGATGTGGTGGCAAACAGCAGCCGAGTAGGGCCGCCAGCGCCCGTGCTCGTTCAGCCACTCCCACACCACCACACGGGCCAGATTTTGGGGAGGGAAGCCCAGGCCACCAGAGGCCAGCATGGCCCCCGAGCCCGGCCGTGCCATGCCAGGGGGATGGCGGCTCAGCCCCGCGCCATGCCGCGGCACAGAGATGTGGGGTTCACCCAGAACCCCTCCAAATCCTCCTCCTGGCTCCCGCCAGCTGTGGGCTCCGGAGCTCAGCAGAGCAAACGCTGCGGGGCTCTGCAGAGGCAGGCGCGGCCAGCCAGGTCCCCAAGGTCCTCGAGCCTCCTGGTCCAGCTCCCCCGGGGCTGCTGTGCTGGGCTGGGGCCATCCATCACCCAGCACGTCCTCCTCGGCCCTTCCTCCTCCCCACAGCGCTGGCAGGGCTCAGGCTCCAAAAAGTCACCAGGAACCCCACAGGCTGTGTCAGCTCAAGTGTGGCCAGTGGCTGCAGACAATGCTGGGGACAACAACCACGGCGCTGTCCCCAACACCCCCTCCTCCTCTTCCTCCTCGTGTCCTGCTGCTCAGCCTATATCCTCGGTGGCTCCACGGCTGTCCCCGGTGCCAAATGAGGGGGTGTCACCTGCAAAACAGGGCCACGGTGCTGGTCACTCCATGCACTGCCAGGCGGGTGGCAGCTGGGGGACCGTCCCCATCATCCCCACAGAGCTGGCGGGCAGCGAGGCTGCTGTGCCCGCAGGCCTGGCAGCGTGGGCTGACTGCCAGCCCTGGCCAGCTGCTGGCCTGCAACGTGACAGCAGGGACAAGGGGGACAGGGGGGGACAGGCAGCACTGCTCACAGCCCCGGGGGGCTGGAGGGGGCCCTGCAAGGCCGGGGAGCCCCATCACTCACTGCCCAGGAGATCTGGGTGCCAAGGAGCACACGGCCCCCCGAGCCCGCTCCAGACACCGCTGATTTATGATCTGCACTGCAGGCATCGGGCTGGGGGTGATCCTGGGCCGCCTGCCCCGGCCCCCCGCTCCCCAGCACAGCCCTTTACCCAGCCATGGCAGCCCCCAGCCCC